AATCAGCTCCCCTCCCCCAGAATCAGATTACAGATTACAATGAAACATACACATATAATTTCTCTTTATCCCCTTTTATAATTTCTTTTTTATCCCTATATATAATTTCTCTTTTATCCCTATTTCTCCTTTTCAGACAGGATCTTGCCGTGTCGCCCAGGTTGGAATGCCGAGGGGTGACACAGCTTCCTGCAGCCTCCGCCTCCTGGGCCCAAGTGATCCTCCCACCTCAGTCTCCTGAGTAGCAGGGACCACAGGCACGAGCTTCCATGCCCAACTCACTTTTTTCTTTTCTGTAGAGACAGGATCGCAGTATGTTGCCCAGGACTGTCTGAAGCTCCTGGCCTCAAGCCATCACCCGCCTCAGCCTCCTGAAGTGCTGGGATTCCAGGCGTGAGCCACCACGGTGGACCCTGCATTTCTCCTGTGTGCTCACTGCCACACGCGGCTCAGCCTGGGCTGCACAGCCCGGTGTCAGGTGCATCTCTGCTGATCTGGGTCTGCCTGCAGCGTGGACCTGCATCTTCCCTGAAGCATCTCCAGGGCTGGAGAGATAACTGGCAAGGTAAGGACCCCGCAATGCTGAGCCGATGGACGGGCTGGAGGAGGGAGGGAGACCCCATTTCTCTCTGAAATGTCTGCAGAGAGCCTGGTGCCCGCCCCCACCTCAGCCCTGGGGAAATGAGAGCCAGGCTCCTGGGGAGGGCAGTTCCCCTTCCTGTGGGCTGAGGATGAGACAACCCCATAACAAGAAGGACCCAGCCTCCGAGCGGCCACACCCTGTGTGTCTCTGTCCTGCCAGCACCGAGGGTTCATCCATCTGCGGAGCCCGGGGCCACTGGGAGGAGACGCCATGACCCCCGCCCTCACAGCCCTGCTCTGCCTTGGTGAGATTTCAAGATGGGGAGGGGGAGATCCGAGTCTTGGAGGGACCCCACCCCACACACAAGCCCTGGTCCATCAGGAGTCCTCAAAAACTCAGGAGGCACCAGGGCGAGGAGGGTCTGCTCAGGCTTCAGGGGCAAATCCCTCACCGGGAACTCTCTTCCAGGGCTGAGTCTGGACACCAGGACCCACGTGCAGGCAGGTGAGTCTGTCCCCAGCTATCCCAGGTCCCTCCTCCTCACTAGGGACAGGGGCCACACATGGGCAGCTGGGGGAAGAGACCGCAGTTCTGGGTGACTGATGGCGATGACGGGGGTTCCTGGGGCTGGGAGCTGGGATCTGAGTGTGGGGACGTCTTGGGATGCAGCCTCTGATTTCCTTCCAGGGCCCCTCCCCAAACCCACCCTCTGGGCTGAGCCAGGCTCTGTGATCATCCGGGGGAACCCCGTGACCATCTGGTGTCGGGGGACCCTGGAGGCCCAGGAGTACCGTCTGGATAAAGAGGGAAGTACAGAGCCCTGGGACACACAGAAACCACTGGAGCCCAGGAACAAGGCCAGATTCTCCATCCCATACACGACAGAGCACCATGCAGGGAGATTTCACTGTTACTATCTCAGCCCTGAAGGCCGGTCAGAGCCCAGTGACCCCCTGGAGCTGGTGGTGACAGGTGAGAGGACATTCAGGGGTCCCAGCCCCAGGCTCTGTCCTCAGGAAGAGGGTCGGCTCTCAGGGGCATCTCCCTCTCACAGCCCAGCCCTGGGGATGATGCGGGAGGTGGGAGCCCATTTAACACGGTGCCTCCTTCTCTCCTAGGATTCTACAGCAAACCCACCCTCTCAGTCCTGCCCAGCCCTGTGGTGGCCTCAGGAGGGAACGTGACCCTCCAATGTGGCTCACCGAAGGGATATCACCATTTTGTTCTGATTGAGGAAGGAGAACACAGGCTCCCCCAGACCCTGGACTCACAGCAGCTCCACAGTGGGCAGTTCCAGGCCCTGTTCCCTGTGGGCCCCGTGACCCCCAGCCACAGGTGGACGTTCAGATGCTATTAGTATTATAGGAACACCCCCCAGGTGTGGTCCCACCGCAGTGACCCCCTGGAGATTCTGGCCTCAGGTGAGGGACCACGGCCTTCTCTAATCCACTTTCGGGGCAGCTGACAGGCTGTGGGGAGTCTGGCTGGTGACTGACTCTGGAAAGGACCCAGAGTGATGTGTGGACGGACGGGCTGCAGGCGTGAGGGAGACCCCATGGGGAGGCTCTGACATGGGAGGAGGAGGCCTCGGCCACCCTCACC